ACAGGTTGCCCAGAGATGCGGTCGATGTCCCGTCCCTGGAGACTTCCAAGGCAAGGCTGGGTCAGGCCCTGCGCAGCCTGATCTGGCTGTAGTATCCCTGTTCATCGCAGGGTAGTCAGACTAGATGGCCTTCAGAGGTCCCTTGCAATTCTAAGGATTCTATGGTTGTAGTGCAGAACAACTGCTGGAAGGCACTAAAGGAAGTGTTGATGTCTCCCATCATCTTTGTTGCCACCATCGTTTAAGTGTAGCTATAGGATCCAGAAGATGGGTGCTCAATGGAGCCAAAGGAAAATGATTCCTTCTTTTTCTTCTGAGGACTGCAGAATAGTGTACATAATACATTTCCCTCTCACATATGTGTTCATAAACCTGTTGTATATAAGGGGCTAATGAGTGATTAATAAGGGGTCCATGTGCCTGTTGCATATAAGGGCTTAATGAGCTCTTCTTAGGGCACAGGTTAAGGATTCTGCTGGCCTTGAAACCTGCAGCCTTGTAATATTGCACTACAGAACCCTATTCAGGAATTATTTTAAAACTTACAGCAAGAGAGTTTCTTTCTTCCCATTAGCTCTCTGCATAGCTCTGCTATATTCTGTAACGTCACTGCTTTGGGGATTGGAACCTTCTCGTTTTCTTCCTCAGTTTGATAGTGGTCAGTTTAACTGTCCTTGATTTTATGGAAGTGTTGTCCCTTATCTTATTACGTTTTCCTTCTTGAAGGAACAACAGCATATACCTTCCTTCCAGCCCTTGTCTTCTAAGCTGGAATGTGAAACAAAGCACGCTCTCTTAACATTCCCCTTGGCAGCCTTTCTTTGCATCTGTTTTACTCTGAGTGTCTCTAGCAGCAGTGTCACAGCTGTAATTACATTCAACTCTTGCTGCCCGTGCCCTCTGCAAAGAATCAGTATCTTCATGTTGGTACTGAATTGCCACCGACAGGAAATATCCTAAAATCAATTCCTCGCATTACACCATGTAAAAGTTTTATTTTCTTTCCTTTAGTAATGATTCATCTCTCAATTAGTATCTCCGGCTGCATAGGTAATTAGAAACTAAGACACGTCCAAGAGGCATTTTCTCATTCTGACATTGCATTAACAGACATTATTTTACATCTTCACCTTCTCATTTCCTTGTCTAGATGCCTTCTTCCTGCTCCTCACAATCAGAGCAAGGATACTATGTCAATTTTACAAAGATTTGGCATTATCACATTCTAAACTATAGCACGCAAACTTGGCATATTCAAATGCGATCGGACACTTGGGTGGAAGAACTTTGTTTTCTGCTCTCACACCAAGCAACCTGGTTATCCAGTATATTCTCGTGGCTCAATGTTCGAAATTCACACTGATATCTCATATTCCACTGTGCTTCCTATCTGTCTGTCCATGGCATCCCCTGCGGTGCACTGACACACACCTGGTTTTGTAGCTGTGAATTTGCTGACTCAGTTTCTGTTAGTCAACCGGATAAATGCACATCATTCCTCAGGGTACTTCATAGCAGGATTCCTTTAACTCGATTTTCTGCATTACAGTAATCTTCCTTCCACTGTTGATCTTACACCAGTGTTCTTCAAAGGCACTGCTTTCATTCTAACCTATTTCCTCCTTAGATTCATGCTGCACTAAATTACTCTTGTTTAAAATATTAAGGACCCTCCTGGATTCACCTGTTGTTGTGTTCTTCATTCCATCCACGTGCTTGGTTAAAATATGCTGGTATGTGATCCACATCTAGACCATCTGCTGCCTACCTGTTAACCCCTTGAATTTAAAATTCCTTTTCCATATGTAGCCAGTTCTGATTCCTCCACAGCTTTCCCTATTTCGTTTTCATCTATCAAAGCATCATTTGGGATTCCTCATCCAATGACTCAATAAACTTCCTGTTGTACTCTGTGATGTAGAAGCAGGATGAGTAGGAATCCTTGGAAACTGCTAATAGCTGTAAGTAACAAAAAACTAATTACAGCCAGATACATCTCTCATGCCTGCACCTTTTAAAATGGTTTAGAAAGGAGTGCAAACTCCTAATTAGTGCCTGATAGACAGTGCAGCACTGCAGTGCCAAGGATCAAAGAATGTAGTTTGAAAGGATTTGATACACACATCCTGTGAATTTATACACATAGTGGCCTAGAACAGTCTGAATTAATTACTCTGTAGCTCAGCTCTATCTTATGTGTACTTAAAAAACAAACAAACAAACAAAAAACCCCTAAGAAAATATAATTACACCAAGAACAAATAAAGGAAAAGGAAGCTGCCGAGTGCAATCACAAATCCAGACCTGAAATAACTCCTTCTGCCCCCACAAGACAGTGCTATATGAAAAAAGTAGCAATGGGTTTAAACTGTACAAGAAATCTTTCACAGAACAAACCTGCTTTAAGCAGACATTTCTTGCTCTTTCTATGTAGCCTTGGCCTCGTAAGTTTAAGAGCTGTGATTGTTTTAGTCTAGTCCCAAGAGTGAACCATTTCTTCAGATGAGATTTACGTTCTGTTGCTGCTATTACATATCTTTATGCTCCTGTCCTTCATCTCAAATATGTAACCCATAATCCAACCTCCTTTACTGCACACCAGAGGAGAACATCAAGCTCTGCAGAGGTTTAGGATGAGGCCATGTACTTCACGTGCCATCGCTTGTGGGCTGACACTTGGATTTTGCAAAGGGGAAGCAAACAGTTGCAGGTGCCATTTTGCCTGCACTCCTGAGCACTGATTAAATGCATTTATGCATATCCCCTTGACAAGGACACTTCTAACATGCAGGCAAGGTTGATGCCTTAGCAAATACATTGTAATTTCTTAAATATGGGATCTCAGAAGTCAGACAAACTGCTCTCATCAACCTAGAATACGTTTAATGCATTCTTATGAAAGGCTTAAAGGCCAAGGCTCTATATCAATTTTTATTTTTTTTTAACAGATTTGTAGTGAACACTTAAAGAAGCAGAAATAATGCAATGCTTAAGTGAAGCTAATATGAAATCTTCTGCTCTCATTCAAAAAAACCAGTACTTTTCCAAGTTTCGCTCTTTAATCAACTTCTAGTATAAAGAACAGAGTACTGAGCACTTCCAAATGAAGAAAAAATCCTGCATTACAGAAAACAGAAATGATATTCCACCTGCAAAGTTATTTCATATTAATAGAGTTGATCAGCACATACACTTACCCGAGTGGCCAACACCAGCGCCTCAGTTTTAATTCTTGTAAAAATTAAATGGAGATTTTATCACCTTGTCCTCTGTTGGTGCTTTCATAAATAAATGACAATGCCAAAAATCTATGACAGGAAATTTATGAATTCCTAATACTATCTTTAGAATCCTTATGGATAAAGGCTTGACTTTGCCCTTTTTCCAGAGGAGTAATTGTATTGAATGTTGTTTCATGAGAATATCCAACATTGTCTGTTGTAATTCTGGATGCCGGCAACCCAGCACAATGCTATGCAAAGCATCTTGATCAAAATGATGTGTTCAAGGCCAGCTTGGATGGGCAGCCTGGTCTAGTATTAAATGGGGAGGCTGACGGCCCTGCATGCAGTATAGGGGTTGGAGGTTGATGATCACTGAGGATTCTTCCAACCCAAGCCTTTCTATGATTCTATAAATGTTAACATTGCTTTTTATATGCTTAAATTTACACAAATTGGAAAGACTTGATCTTGTTTTCTATCAGTCAGTTCTTAGTAACTGGAATGCAGAAGGGAAGTTGCATAAAGCATAGTTGTATCAAGATCATACAACTTTTTATTGCCCTATTCAAGGAACTATTTTTGTTCACAGTAATAAAGGAGCAACCAGAACCACCACCACACAAACACAAAAAGGAAGAAAAACAAACACCAAACCCTGATCAATAAAAAACACACACTTTCTTTCACTTCTTATCTTTAAATCAGTGTAGCTTTAGAACTTTTCTTTCTCTCCGTTTCTCCTCTTTTTCCTTCCTCACATGCTGAATAATAAACGCTTCTTTAATCCTTGTGCACCTAGAATTTGTCTGCATGGGGAAGCGTTAAACAAAAAATTGAAGGCTTCAGCTTGTTTTGTGCTAATGGCACCTACTGGCTTCACCGACCAAACAAGTCCGAGAACTGAGGGAACACTAGAAAACAGTGGGTATTTGAGTAAAGAAAAAACAAAACACTCAGACATTGAAAAATAAAAACCAGCCCAAATCAAATACTTTCCCACAGTCACAAAATGCTGTGGCAGCTCCTGAGGATCTCCATTGTCCTCTTCCACGTCCCTTTCTTAAAAAGTAATCTACTAACATTTGATTGAAGAAGACAAGTAGAGAAGGTGACTGTCAAGGTAAGCATTATATTTAGAAAACAATGCAATGGCAGCTTATAACCCCTGAAAGGCAAATGGACAAATGCTGCTTTTTGGTGAAATTGGACATGTTACACAGTAAGCAGTTCCATGTAGCTGTCTACTGAGATGTAAAAAGTCGCCCAGAGAAGAGTGCTTGACTTGTCCTGGTGCCCAACGCACGACAGCAGCTGACTCACATTTCATTGCACTTATAGAGTTTCTAATAGCATTGTTGAAAATGTTTCATTAACATCCCGTATCGGCAGTGCTTACCACACCACCCCGCTTAACATAAGCAAGAGGTTGCAATGGAATGAGTAGTAAGATCACAGTAAGCTGTAAATAAAACTTCACAACTCTAACACAACTTCAAGAGAGTGCATGTATGACAGTTGAAAGACGATGCATAATTTATTATTTCAGGTACCAACTGCTAATTTTTTCTTGACACCTAAAGTTTGACATCAAAAACTGAAGCTTCTATAACAAGCTTCTCACTTGCCTAACTAGTTCTAAACTGTTCTAAAGCTTTATTTCCTTTACCTTCTGATAAGAACAGCAGCTCAAATGAAGTTGGAGGGCTTGGGATTATTTCCAAATAATGAACAAACCAATCTGAAGTCGAAAAAAAAAAAGGCAGCAAGTCTTAAAAATATCAGTTAATCTTCATAATTTAATATGCCATTTATAGTCATCCAAACATCTTACTGAATAGTTATGTACAAAAACCATTGAAAAGAAAAAGAATTTAGATGTTATCTTTGAAATTCAAAAGTACAATTAACACAAGCAACGTTTCTCTTTGTTTTTGGTTTCATTTCTATTAAATTCACTGGCTATGTAAGAGCCTAACAAGTATGCTGCCTACCGTAAGGTGAATGAGGATTTTATTTGTCATTAATTTGTTTATTTTCAATGAGCCTGGCGGCTGACCGAGTCTTGCTCCAACGATAAATATGGTACATTGAAAAATGCATTGTTTTCATAATTTTCAGTTTTACTGACTTCAACAAATTGAATAAGAACAACAGTAAGATCCCTAAAGTTCTAAAATAATAATTAACACCGTAAAACTTGATATCAAGGTAAGCGTGCACAAGACAGCCATCCTTGCACCAGAGCTCTATGGACAGCTTCCAAAGATGTTGTTCACTCACAACAGACACTGTTCCTCTACAGTACTGAATGAGTTTTCTGAAATAAGATTTACATTTACAGAGTTTCATGCATTAGGTATTCACAATTTGGAAAGAAAAGGAAACCCTTCATACATATCAGCCTTTAATTTTATCCAATCGTGAAATTTCTGTAAAGTTGATTTTTCTTGTGTTAGTATTTTTGCAGCTTTTTTCAGCTTTTCTTCATTTCGTTCTAAATAGCGAATTCCATCTGTCTGCAACTGACTGAGTTTCTCTTTCCGGCTTTCATCCAGAGGTATGTCTTCATTCATCAGAGGATTAAATCTGAAATAAGTATCTGGTGGTAACAGCGCATCCAGCATGGTGTGAACTTCTGCATCGAAAACAAACGTAGCAAACGGTAACATTTACATGAGAGGCAAACAGTCCTACAGCCTGAACAACGAGTGCTCTGGAGTGACATGACCCAGGAAGTGTAAATATGTGCTGCTTTACTAAGGACATTTTTTTCCTACTATTGCCTTATACAAAGAAATACAACTCATTTTGCAAGCAACCCCATAGCTCTGCTTTTGCTGAAAAGCTTCACCTTTTATTCTATGACTGCATTCATGATAATCAAGAAGACTTTGTGAGCTATCCAGATACATGTATGTTCATTCCTTGATGAATAAGAACACATTCTGAACAGCAGTAATGTAACTTACATATCCCCACTCATGATTTGTTACACTCAATACTTAGTGGAGAAGGTATTATGAAACAGAGCTATATATTCAACTCTCATCTCAAAGTCTGCAGTAAAAAAAACTACGTAGTTTTGAAGCTTTCTTTAAACTGCAACCATTATGTATTATGAACACACGTTTTGGTTTTGAAATGTTCATGAATTGTAAAATGTTTGAATTCTGAAAAATAACCAGTGCAGAAATAAACTGACTATGTAATAGATTTATTTGTTCCTCTCTTTGCTTCTTCTTTTCTTCTCCTTCCATAGCCTCAATTCTCCCTCCTTTAAGATCTCTCCTCTTATATCTCCTTTAAACTTCCGTTTCCATGACTACTTCCAGCTTTCATCTCTTATTTCCTTCTTTGCATTCTTACCACTCCCTCTCTCCATATCCCTTTGTACAAATCCTGCTGGATTACTAGTGGAATTCTCAGTTTTCAGGTACCTGCAGTTTACCTACGTCATCAGCCAAGACCTCATAAGCTAAAACAGCTCCGCAATGGCACAGTGATGAAGACTCATGGAGGTAACACTGAGAAATGCACTCATGTTCTCATCTCCAGAAGACCTGTAATACTAGTATTAAAACACTAACTACATGTAATAAGTTAAGAAGAGACATGCTTTACTGAGTGTGTTCTTGCTATAATTTGAATCACAGAATCATAGAATTGTTTGAGTTGGAAAGAACCCTCAAAGGTCATTTAGTCCAACTCCCCTGCAATGAACAGGGACACCCACAGTTAGGTCAGGTTGCTCAGAGTCCAGTCCAGCCTGAGCTTGAATGTTCCCCCCAAGGACATGGAATCCACCACTTCTCTGAACAACCCGTTCCAAACACTTGCTGGGTGAAAACAGCTTCCTGAAAGCAACCACTTAAAACTCTCTATTTGTCTGCTTTTGATTTTGACACCAATGAAGTCAAACAAACATGATCTTCCTATAGGTTATATGGCTTAGGCAGAAGTTTCAGCAGGTCAGACAGAGAGAAAGGGAAAAACAAAATGTTGCAAATTGCTCTCTGAACTGAAATTATAAGAATAATCAAAAAGCTGAAAAGAGCCAGAGAACAAAGACAAATTAAGACACTAACCTTCTGTGTCAGTTGCACTGCTGATAACGTTTGTGAGTTTGGCTTTCAAACTGGTGTATGTGACATTTGTCTTCCCTGCACTTTCGTATCGGCCAGTACCCAGCGACACCAGACACTGCAGTGGAACATCTGGCCAAAGGCACTTGCACTCATGAACTGCCAGTGCAGAAGGATTATTTAGAAGCAAGCCTCCATCCTGTAAATCAAAAATAAATGTAAAGGTTAATACTATATATGATGTGAATAAAACAAAATTGCAATTACAAAATGAACTGGATAGCACTTTTGTATTAAAACAGGCAGTAATTTTCATCTTTCGTGCAAGTGCTCTGTTTGTGCTTTGCAGCTGCCACATAGCTAAGTTTCCTGGGCTTATGGACACTGTCAGATCATCTCTTGAATCTCTGGTGAGTTCTGCTGGTGGGAGCGAATAGTTCAGAGTAGGAAGGACCGACTGAGGTCATGTAGTCCAAACCCCCTCCTTGCAGAGGATCAGCTGAAGTGTGCTGCCAAGGGCTACAACCAGTTCAGTTCTGAGTATCTCCACACATGGAGACTCCAAAACCTTTCTAGGCAATCTCTTTCAGTGTTTGACCACCCTCAAAATTTTCTTTTTTGATTTGTGTTGTTACTTCTCATCTTTTCTAAGGGCATTCCCTCTTCTACATTCTCTCCAAACCTTTATTTATTCACATTGATAAGATACCCTTCCCCTACAAGTCTTCTCTTCTCTAGGCTGAGCAGCCTCTGCTCTTTGTTTCCCCTCATTTGAAATGCTTCCTTCATCATCTTTGTGGCCCTGCATTGAACTCGCTCACTTAATTGGTAATCTCTGCTACTTCAGTATGTACTTCTGTCTTCTAGGCTTCTAAGACAGCCAACTTCAGAAAAGCATACTAAATGCAAGCAATAGAATATATGAACATAAGAGAGACTTTTGTTTTCAAGATTTCTGTAGTTAAGAATATATGAACATAAGAGAGACTTTTGTTTTCAAGATTTCTGTAGTTAAGAACAGTAATTAATCATAGCAGAGGCCAAGATTTTTATAGCCATTCAAAAAACCATATAAAATATAGAAGAGACAGAATATGGATGAATATTTGCAAAAGCACTATGCAAAAGCTCCCTGAACTACCTATATCCTGTACCTGTCCATCACATTACAAGAATAACAAAGAAACCAATGACATTCAAACAGAGCTTAGAATGAAAGACATTATGGAATTGCTGCACACTTTACAGGAACTTTTATTAACTACAGCTGTGCTAGACAAGTAGTAATGGGATTGCTGAGATGTGGAGTTTTGTCTTTTTTTGTTTATCAAGCTTCTATTTTAACCTACAAAAAGATCTTTGAGCTGCTTCTGGACTACTGTCTACTTTGCTCAGAACAGTGCTAAAATGAATAGTCTTTTCAGTGCCTATTATCCTCGCTTACGTATAAATTTAATTCTACACAGAAAACAAAATACAAGGATGTCTTTGTCCTTGATACAATTCCCCATGAATCTTAATACAAAATCTTAATACTTATCTTCATGGTGCTTACTTATTTCTTTATAACAGTGATTAAAAAATGCTTACCAAATAATTTCCACTGATCTTGCCAATATAATTTAATTAAACATGATTTTTTTCCACCATGGGAAAGCTTAGTGTTATCAAAATATAGTGTGTAGTTAATAACAGAATAGCACTCTATTTTTTTATCAAACAGACAAATAAGACACCAGTGATAAATAACACAGAATCATAGAATCCTTAGAGTTGGGAGGGACCTTTAAAGGCCATCTAGTCCAGCTCCCCTGCAGTGAACAGGGACAGCACAGCTAGATCAGGTTGCCCAGGCCTTGATCCAGCCTCACCTTGAAAGTCTTCAGGAACAGAGTATCAACCACATCATTGGGCAACCTGTTCTAGTGCTTCACTATCTGTGTCGGAAAAACCTCTGATCTCCATTTCCCCTATTTTAGGGTGAAACCACTTCCCTTGTCCTAACACCACAGACCCTGGCTATGCGGTCCGTCCCCTCCTTTCTTATAATCTCCTTTCAGATACTGAAAGGACTCCATCAGGTCTCCCTGGACCCTTCTCTTCTCAGGCTGAACATCCCCAGCTCTCTCAGCCTGTCCTCAGAGGAGAGGTGTTTCATCCCTTGATCATTTTTGTGGCCATCCTCTGCACGTGCTCCAACAGGTCCATGTCTCTCCTGTATTGAGGACTCCACATCAGGACACAGTACTCCAGGCGATGCCTCATCAGCACAGAGCAGAGGGGTAGAATCACCTCCCTCATCCAGCTGCCCACACATCTTTTGATGCAGCGTACACACACCAAAGCTGTGCCACAAAAATACCGACAGCTTTCTGCAGCTATTTTCATATTTGAACAGTTTTCAATTCAGGTCTACTGGAATGACAGTAATTATTCATTAAGACACCTTTATATAATTTCTAGAATCAATATAGCTATATGCTATTCTTGGAAAGTCAGAAGTAATACTCAATAACAAGGGTAACTAATTTATTTTCTTCACCTTCAGATTATTATTGATAATGATCCAATCAATATTGTGTTTCAAATCAGCTTACTCTGACAAAGATCTTCATGATATTGCTCTTCTGCTTTCAGTGATCAACTACTGAATCAGTAGATAACGTTATTAGTTAAACTGAGCTTTAGAAGACTTAATGAAGAAAGCAGTGCAATAATTTAACTCATGTTTTGCAGCTCCAGAAACATTACTACACATTAATTCAAAGAATGAAATTCTCACATTAAAAATATTGCTTAGAACTGCATGAGCAAGGAATCTTCACCAAAGAGATTTCATTGGAGCGTATGCCTAAAGAAGTGCACTTCTGTTTTAAATAAATTGATCTGGTAGTCAGAGCACAAGGGAGCCTTCTCTGCTTTGTAACTGTCAAAACACTTGGAGAAAATATTAACTACAGCGCTAGCATAGCTAACTAACTGGGCCCTAAAAGAATGGTTATGCTTCCACTGAGGAGTTCTAGAAAAATCTGTATTGGGAAGAGGAATATTTCATAAAGCACACTTGGGAATCACTTGATAAAATGTTAAGCTCAGTATAACAACTGAATGTTTGCCACTTGGAAAGTCTTTGGCAAAAAACTGAAAGCAAAGTCCGAGTGCTTGACTTCAGTGCTTCGCTGTGACAACGAAGCTTGTTCATACATGTATTAAGCTCCATTTTAAAATTTGTTTGATTACCTCCATTATTTTTATTATTTTTATCTATTTATTTTTATCCATTATTTTTTATTTTTATCAGATTATTATTATTATTTTTTAAGTTTTCTTCCCTATTGTTAACCTGCTGACATGATGTCACTAGGGAAGTGGCATACCCCTCGTCAGCACTTGCTTGCACTAATGTTCTACTCTTGCACTTTGTGCTCAGTGTGCTGTCTGCAAATTAAGATGACTGAAGTGTGACGCAGTTTTGCAAAGTTTAGAGTATGAAGGAGTGTGTAAGAGCTGCCAGTGCACTGATTATAGCAGCCCAGGGAAGGGGTAACTATGTATGCTCGGGAAGTGGAAAGTTTGCAGTTACATTGAGAACTAACTGAATGAGAGGAGATGGTGAAATGTGGTCAAGGACAATCTAAGAATGGGAGGACAAAGCAAATGAGTCACTGGTCTACTCTGGCTGGTTGCCTGGCACATAGTCAGACAATTGCATGTTTTTGTGGATGCTGATCAGCAATTTTTGTCATTTAAAGAGTTACTGTAAGTCAGTCCTTCAGCTCATTTCCAAGGTATGTGCTGTGTGTGAAAAATGCATATTTGAGGGTTTTTTTGTTTTGTTTTGTTTTTTAAAGACTCCAGACTATACTGGTGTAGTTCTGTATTTTGTAAGAAAGGCTTTTAAAAGTTTGTTTTACAGCTAAAATAACTTACATCATAACATGATTCATGTTCTGTTTCTTTAAAGAGTGTAGAACTTTAGGAAAATGAAAGAGAATGAGACCTCAGGAGGTTGTCTGGTCCAGCCTCCTGCTCAAAGCAGGACAAACTTCAAAGCTGGGTCAGGTTCCCAGGGCCTCACCAGGCTGAAGTTTGAAAACATCCAAGAACAGAGATTCTACAGCTTTCACTGTCTGCACTTTGTTCTGTGCTTTTTAAAAAGTCCAGCTAGAGATTCTCCCCCTTAGACAGAAGGCTGCGTTCTGCCTCCTCTTTGACCTTCTCTTTTTTCAGGCTAAATAAATCCAGTTCTGTGCATCATCTGCCATGTCATTTTCTTCAGTTCTAGAACTCCTCAGTGGAAGCATAACCATTCTTTTAGGGCCCTGTTAGTTAGCTATGCTAGAGCTGTAGTTAATATTTTCTCCAAGTGTTTTGACAGTTACAAAGCAGAGAAGGCTCCCTTGTGCTCTGACTACCAGATCAATATTTAAATAAAAACAGAAGTGCACTTTTTTAGGTATATGCTCCAATGAAATCTCTTTGGTGAAGACTCCTTGCTCATACAGTTCTAGGTATTAAGGTAGGCATGCTTAAATATTGTCAAATGTTTCCCGTTTACTTCATAATCCAAAGGAAAATACACAGAGACCTCAAATAAAAGAAGTGCTCCAGACCACTCAGGAGCCTGGAAGCACAGAACCTTCTTGAATTCTTGTTTTATGTAAATAATTAAGGTGAACATGCATGAAATCACCACTCAATTATTCAAACCAGAAATTATAAAACAGTTCTTCAACTGAAGATGTTATAAAAAAGCAGTTTAAATCACACATTACTATGGATGTTTTTGTTTTTCTTCTTAAAACGAAGTTCAGAACACATTGTTTACCCATAAGCTGTCACTTCATTTCTTAATTTTGTCAATTTCACACTGCACCTTCTGATTGCTGCGTGCAGCATCCTGAAGTTTCACTTAAGTGATGTTAAGCTTTGTGAAGAAAATAATCTAGCACTGGGTGAAGGATATGACTTAAGAAAGCCAAGTCTGACCTTTGGAAGCTGAGTTTGCAGGCTCCATAGTAACCATTTCACCTCACTGCTTATGCAGACATGCTTTGCATTTTAGCTCACTTCTACAGACTTGCTCTGCTGTTTACTTTCATTGTAAATACAGAAGGACTGGAAAAAGTACTAGAACAAAGCTGTCAAAGGCTAAAACAAGACAGGCTAAGATTCTGAAGAGACTTTGAAAAGTACTTT